CCATATTAAAGGGGCAATCCACACAATGTCTTCTCCCCTATGCCCAGGTCCTCTGAAATCAGCAAGACAAACACAAGGTTCATATCCCTGCATTGGACATGAGGATGCTAATGAATAGTCCACTGCTGGAATGAAAGAGGAGTGCCAGGTGCTGAGGGAGTGGTGGCTCTGGTAAGTAAAATTGCTTTTCTCATCCTCTAGACCAGCAATGGGCAAACTACGGCCCGCGGGCCGTATACGGCCTGGCGGACCTTTTAATCCGGCCGCGGAGCTAGGCTCCCGCTAGGCTCCTCTCACAGTCCGCCGTGTAGCATGAAAATCTGTCTCCTATGAGGATCTGTCCCCCTCGACGTATCTGTGCATGTGCCGGAGATCGGCGATCGGCTGCTAATGCCTGAAACTGGCACATGCGCAGATACGTCGAGGGGGACAGATCCTCATAGGAGACAGATTTTCATGCTACACCTGAACGGCGCGGGAACACGGCGAGAGGAACGCGAGGAGCAAAGGTAAGTGAATTGACACAGGGGGGACTTGGGGACTTAATATGGGGAATGAATTACTATAGGGGGGATGAATTACTATGGGGGATGAATTACTATATGGGGGATGAATTACTATAGGGGGATGAATTACTATATGGGGGATGAATTACTATATGGGGGATGAATTACTATATGGGGGATGAATTACTATAGGGGGGATGAATTACTATAGGGGGGATGAATTACTATAGGGGGGATGAATTACTATATGGGGGATGAATTACTATAGGGGGGGATGAATTACTATAGGGGGGATGAATTACTATAGGGGGGATGAATTACTATAGGGGGGATGAATTACTATAGGGGGGATGAATTACTATAGGGGGGATGAATTACTATATGGGGGATGAATTACTATATGGGGGATGAATTACTATATGGGGGATGAATTACTATGGGGGATGAATTACTATATGGGGGATGAATTACTATATGGGGGATGAATTACTATGGGGGATGAATTACTATGGGGGATGAATTACTATATGGGGGATGAATTACTATATTGGGGGGGATGAATTACTATAGGGGGAGGATGAATTACTATATGGGGGATGAATTACTACTATAGGGGGGATGAATTACTATATGGGGGATGAATTACTATGGGGGATGAATTACTATATGGGGGATGAATTACTATATGGGGGATGAATTACTATGGGGGGGATGAATTACTATATGGGGGATGAATTACTATGGGGGATGAATTACTATATGGGGGATGAATTACTATATGGGGGATGTATTACTATATGGGGGATGAATTACTATAGGGGGGATGAATTACTATATGGGGGATGAATTACTATGGGGGATGAATTACTATATGGGGGGATGAATTACTATATGGGGTATGAATTACTATGGGGGATGAATTACTATGGGGGATGAATTACTATATGGGGGATGAATTACTATGGGGGATGAATTACTATATGGGGGATGAATTACTATATGGAGGATAAATTACTATAGGGGGGATGAATTACTATATGGGGGATGAATTACTATATGGGGGATGAATTACTATGGGGGATGAATTACTATATGGGGGATGAATTACTATGGGGGATGAATTACTATAGGGGGGATGAATTACTATATGGGGGATGAATTACTATATGGGGGATGAATTACTATAGGGGGGGTGAATTACTATGGGGGATGAATTACTATATGGGGGATGAATTACTATATGGGGGATGAATTACTATGGAGGATGAATTACTATATGGGGGTGAATTACTATATGGGGGATGAATTACTATATGGGCGATGAATTACTATATGGGGCATGAATTAATATGGGGGATGAATTACTATGGGGGATGAATTACTATATGGGGGATGAATTACTATATGGGGGATGAATTACTATGGGAGATGAATTACTATATGGGGGATGAATTACTATGGGGGATGAATTACTATATGGGGGATGAATTACTATAGGGGGGATGAATTACTATATGGGGGATGAATTACTATGGGGGATGAATTACTATAGGGGGGATGAATTACTATGGGGGATGAATTACTATATGGGGGATGAATTACTACGGGGGATGAATTACTATATGGGGGATTAATTACTATGGGGGATGAATTACTATATGGGGGATGAATTACTATATGGGGGATGAATTACTATGGGGGATGAATTACTATGGGGGATGAATTACTATATGGGGGATTAATTACTATGGGGGATGAATTACTATGGGGGATGAATTACTATATGGAGGATTAATTACTATGCTTACTATGGGGGAATATTACTATACTTACTATGGATGACACATACACATCATTCATCTACTCTTGGTCTGGCCCCCGGGTCCAATATATGAACCCATTGCGGCCCTCAAGTCAAAAAGTTTGCCCACCCCTGCTCTAGACCTAAACATGCATTTCACCCTTGCAGTGTGGGGGAAGTCTCCCTGCAAGGGAGGATTTTTATTTTCCCTGAAGTTAGCTTTTAGCAATAGCAGTTGCTGGTGAAATGCAGTTTTGGTTCCTTTGATTTGTATGAACTGTTAGTAAACTCCCATCATAAGTTTAGAATCAGCATAACTATATCCCTTACGCAATGTTTATTTTAGGCAATGTTTCATACCTATGGTGATGCCTTGTAATCAGCTCGTACAGTTCTGTGGAGCTTTCAGTAAACCACTGCTCTCAGTGGGCCCAAAGTATGGAGGGTCTGTAAGGCCTTGCTTCATCTCACAGTCTATTTCTAATGTGACCTGTCAGTGGAGCTGTGCTCACACCCTCTGGAATTCAGATAAATTACACTAGGCAAAAAGGTTTTTTAAGGCCTAGCAAACTCGAAACTGAATCATGTATCAATCTGAATAAAAGAAAAGTACGCTTTACAAATTACATTATCAATAAAGTAATAGCAATTCAAATGGACACATTTTTGAACCTGGCAAGAGAAGTATAAATGCTTCTTTTCACTTTGCTCAGCTTCTATATGTCAGAAATATATTAGTTTTCAAGAACTCAGTGTAATGTTTATTCTCTTTTTTCCACATATGTTTTTTGCACACTTCAATTTATTCCATCTATTTGTAATTCATGAAAGGAAAGATGCCAGTTTTTGCATTGAAACTCAATATATTAATAGCAATTGATGGCACATGTTCCTGATACCCACAAAATACACTCTAGACATAATACTTCAACAAGTTAATTAGGCCTATTTTGCATTGCATTATATTCGCAGGATGTTTACCTGCAGTATCTAGCTCCAGTGGGTTACATTGCCCTACTCAGGTAAGAACGGAATTCACCATTATTTTTCCCAGGGTCATTTTAGAAGTGTCTAATGAAGACACTATATTGTCTAAGCAGCAGTCTAATAGCTCAGGTGAAAGGGAGCTATATCCTTTAATGTAGTATTCTTAGTGGGTTATAAAAGCAGTACTTGAAAAAGAAGTTTGGGGGAGAAAAAAAAAACAGTTCTATTCACCTGGGTGGATGAAAAATCAGTCTGATGCTACATCCGCCTTCCACCTCCTCTAAGACTGAGAACTGAGAGATCAAGGAACGCTGATTGCTCAGTTCTGTCTTGTCAGTAGAGTTCTGGGCTGTGGAGGGGTGGGAGAAACTGGTTCAGGCTTTCAGTGGTGTGCTGAAAGGCTTAGTCAGCTACTGGTCACATATCTGTGTGGATACCAACATTAAAAGTTGGGAAATTTCCAGAGCTTGGACTGGCTACGTGAAGTCAGCCGAAAGATGGCTTTAGCCAACAGTCAGCTGAAAACAGATCACAGGAGTGCAGAACTAAGTGCACTCCTGTAATCCATAGAAGTAGGGCCAACAGAAATTTGGCCCCACTTCTTATTTAAATCTCAGCTCAAGAGAACTTTTATGGTAATTAAACCCAGGACTTCAACACCGGTGAACAACTACTCTGCTCCGATTCAATCACATTGTTTTTAAAAGTTTCCTGCTGGGAATCTGCTGCTAAGTAAAATTCTACACAACAGATGTACCTAAAACAGTCATCTTTTATTGACCCAAATCCAAGGTTATTGTTATAATAGGGAATCCGGCAAAGAACAAAAATATATTAAACATAACCTTCTGTGAGCAAGATCCTGTAGCTGTTTCTTAATTTTATCAATGTATTTCCTATTGGGACTATTTGTCTTTTTAAAGCTGAATTTGAAGCAGATATATACACACACTATATTTCCAAAAGTATTGGGGCACCTGCCTTTACACGCAGAAGGATGTTAATGGCATCCCAGTCACCGCAGGGTTCAATACTGAGTTGCCCACCCTTGGCAGCTTTAACAGCTTCAACTCTTCTGGGAAGGTTATCCACAAGTTTTAGGAGCGTGTCTATGGGAATGTTTGACCATTCTACCAGAAGCGCATTTGTGAGGTTGGGCACTAATGTCAGCCAAGAATGCCTGGCTTGCAGTCTCCACTCTAATTCATCCCAAAGATGTTCTATCAGGTTGAGGTCAGGACTTTGGGCAGGCCAGTCAAGTTCCTCCACCCCAAACTCACTCATCCATGTCTTTATGGACCTTACTTTGTGCACTAGTGGCAGTCATGTTGGAACAGGAAGGGGCCATTCCTAAACTGTTCCCACAATGTTAAGAGCATGATATTGTCCAAAATGTCTTGGTATGCTGATGCCTTAAGAGATCCCTTCACTGGGACTAAGGGGCCAGGCCCAACTCCTGAAACATAACCCCACATCCTAAACCCCCCTCCACCAAACTTTACACTTGGCACAATGCAGTCAGGCAAGTAACATCCTAGCAACTGCCAATCCCAGACATGTCCATTGGATTGCCAGAGAGAGAAAAGTGATTAGTCACTTCAGAGAACACGTCTCCACTGCTCTAGAGTCCAGGGACAGTGTGCTTTATGCTACTGGATCCAACACTTTGCATTGCACCTGGTGATGTAAGGTTTGGATGCAACTGCTCGGCCAAGGAAACCCATTTCATGAAGCTCTCTACACACTGTTGTTATGCTAATCTGAAGGTCATACAAAGTTTGAATGTCTTTAGCTATTGACTCTGCAAACAGTTGGTGACTTCTGTGCAATGTGCTCTTCAGCATGCGCTGACCCCACTCTGTCATTTTATGTGGCCTACCACTTTGTGGCTGAGTTGCTGTTGTTCCCAGTTGCTTCGACTTTGTTATAATACCACTAACAGTTGACTGTGGAATATTTGGTAGTAAGTAAATTTCACGGATGGACGTATTGCACAGGTGACAACCTATTACGGTACCACACCTTTCAATAAAGCTCTGGTAGTGCACTTAGTACTTGCAACCTCCTGTTTGTTCTTTTTGTTTTTTTATGGTAATTATTTTATATGCACTCATATGTTATTTCCAGTTACTGAGAAAAAAATGAAACTGCAACAATAAGTAGATAATCCCTATAAAATACAAACTATTAATAACTTATTCACTGGAAACATATCATGATCCCAAAAACATACATATAAAAAAAAAACTGCTAAACATGCATATGTAAATAAATAATAATCTAAATGAAATCCCTTCACACTTGAATTCACAATCCACATTTAATCAAAAATTGGATTTTCCATAAAAGCAATAAAGCAAATAAAGGATCAAACATTAAGTTAACAATATAACTTGAAGTCATTAAACCTCTTGTGAACACTCATATACTGTAGGTCTTGAGCAGTGGTGGGCCATGCCCTTCACACCTAGGCCTTCAGTGATGGCATTCCTGAATTAATGCCACTCCCACGGCTTCAACTACCACCTCTACACCAATGACACGCAAAATCTACCTGTCTACCCCTCGCCTCACCCCTTCAGTCTCCGCCCGAATCACCTGCCTACTGAACAACATATCAGACTGGATGTCACTCCACTTCCTCAAATTAAACCTTTCCAAAACTGAGCTCCTAGTTTTCCCCCCAGCCCGTGCCCCCCCCCCCCCAACCTCTCCATCACGACCAATAACGCCACCATCAGTTCCACCTCGCAAGCCAAAGTTCTAGGTGCCATTCTAGACTCCATCCTATCCTTCCAGCCCCATGTCCAATCACTGGCAAATTCATGCAGGCTCCACCTCCGCAACATCTCCAAAATCCGTTCGTTCCTAACCCCAGACACTACTAAACAACTCATTCACCCTCTTATTATCTCACGACTCGACTATTGCAACTCCCTCCTCACCGGCTTACCTCATCACAGACTCTCCCTGCTTCAGTCTATCATGAACTCAGCGGCCAGACTCATCCAACTTACCAACCGCTCCGTATCCGCCACCCCCCTCTGTCATTCCCTTCACTGGCTTCCGATTGCCCAACGCATAAAATTCAAACTACTAACATTGACATACAAAGCTATTCATAATACTGCCCCAAACTACTTCACCGACCTAATATCCAAATACCACCCAACACGTACTCTTTGCTCCTCACAAGACCTCCTACTCTCCAGTTCCCTGGTCTCCTCCTCCCATGCCCGACTCCAGGACTTCTCCAGGTCTTCCCCCATCCTCTGGAACTCACTACCCCATTCCATAAGACTGTCATCTACCCTCCTCCTCTTTAGGCGCACCCTGAAAACCCATCTCTTCAGGGAAGCCTACCCCGCCCTCACCTAACAGTCGATCTCCTCCACTACTCCTACCACTCCATCCCCCACAGCCATTTCCTCCTGTACCACTATCCCCTCCCTCCTAGATTGTAAGCTCCAAGGAGCAGGGCCCTTGAACCCCTCGTGTATTGTATTGTTATTGTACTGTCCCCCACTATAATATACAGCGCTGAGAAAACTTTTTGGTGCTATATAAATACTGTATAATAATAATAATGCAGCAATTTTTGTCTGTAACCATACAAATTCAGCACTGTATGCTTGCTAGATGGCCCCGGAGTTGTCAACTCAAAATCTGATTGGTTAAAGTTACAGTTTTATTGCTATTTACTGTAAGCTACAGGCACCCACAATGCTGATTCTGAAGGCCTCAAGGTAGATGTCTTTGACCCTGGCAACCAATGGCTATCATGGCTGAAATAATGACTGAATAAAAGCTCTAGCATAAACATACACTATTGGAAGCAGTAAAACCAAGAGAAAAGCTATTAAAAGAAGAGAATAGATTATTTGAAATAAGGCATTCATGGGAAAAATATATCAAATCTTAAGACAGTGATTCTGATAGTTCAGGCAGTGATTAGGACAGCAGAGAAGTACTTGCTGGCCCTGACAGTCCACCACTGGTCTTGAGAGAATACCGAGTGTGTAACAATACAATTTGATTTACTTGGTTCATTTAATTGCATTCGTAGTGTGGTTTTCAAGTGCCACTCTGATCTATATGTGTCAAAATAAGAAAATCAGTTTAAATTAAATGTATCATTTAATAGATGCATGTTTTCTTCATCTGAATAATATACATGGCCAGCCATCCAAGAACTGTTATACATTAAAGCATATGATATGGAAAAATGATTTCTTTAATGAAGTTTTAATTTTTGGATTCTATATTCTTAAGGATGCTGTGTATTTCATTTTGTTTGGAGTCTTCAAAACAGTTTTTTTGTTTTGTGAGAACTAGTCTACTATACACTCCAGATATATCTAGCTGAGGATTTGTAGGTTCTAATTTTGTTTAGTAATTTCCTGTATAAAATGTAATAAAAACTTGACAGATTGTTACAGTGAACTTTACAGTTTCAAAATATGTGGAAGGCTAAAGCTGGGAAGTATAAATAGTATAGTAAATGATGTTGAATATGAACCAAATACTGAATCACAGTGTTCATAAGTAATCCATTGTCCGTGTGTATCCAGAGGTATTAGCTCAAGGCCATCATATTCATATTTCATATAACAATAAGTACATACAGTATATAAGTTGGCCAACCCCATTTTAATACTCCAAGTGAGAATATTCCCTTTGTTGGCAGTGATATAATATAGCTTACATATGGTGATTTATTATCCAATCAGAGGGCTGCAGGAATCATTGCATTGACTCCACCTAAATTTACTTGCATTAACTGTAAAAAATTGCAATATACTGTGGGGGGGGGGGGAGGGTACTATACACTCTACAATCGCACTATACAGCTTTAACCAGCATAGTGAAATAATGCTCATGTATAAGAATACAATACAAACACAGCCAATATCAAGAACAACAATGCCAAAAATGTTTTCCTTGTCTTTTATTTGGGTGCTGTGACCCAGAATCCAAGAGGTAGAGCCTGTTTTTTTTGTCATTTACGCCATTTGGCATTTTAAAATGGAATCTGTCACACACAATGCTCCAATGAAGCCTTATTAGGGTGAATTGTGAAAGAAGGATGCCCCTGTTATGTGACCAAATCCAGTGGCACCTAATTTTTGTTTGCTACCTTACTGCAAGGCAGGGTTTTTAGCACATTTTATCATATCACAAAGTTGTGTTGGAGAGACTTTGGATAAGCCATTTCTTGCACTCTGGACATTGATATCAATCATTGTAAATCTGCCTACCCCCAGTTTACTTCTGTGCATTGCTATCAGGTGATTGGGACAGTGTGGGCTGTACATGCTACACAACCTCCTATTCATAGTCTTACCTCATCTTTCCTGTTACAGCAGTTGTGCAGGGTGTCTGAATATGACTGTGCAGTTCAATAGAAACCAGAGTTAAGATGATTGTACATTACTCCAATTACTGAGACAATTTCTCATCCACAAATTTGAGCTGAATTTGGAAATCCTCTCCACTGTGTCTTTGTATTCTGACAGCAGGACTCCACCACTGGCAGAATATATTGATCACTGATCGAAAGCTGGTTTTCCAGCAGGAATGTTCAACAGAAGCTGGTCTAATGACCAGCTTCTGTTGAACAGAGAGGGCTACACACGGATTGAAATTCACCCGGTTCCTGCTGAACCAGCTAAATTTTGATCCATGTATGGCCAGACCTAGGGCACTCACTATTCGGCACTCTATACCAGATCTGAGTATACATTCATAAGCTTTACAAAAGGATAAGGATCTTATTTTTAGCTATGTGACTATAATTTCATGGGAATCAACTAAAAATAGCTGCCATTAGCTTTATAAATTGAGCTTCTGGTTAACACATCCCCTCACTTGCTCTGTAACAAAGTCCATTCGCACTTCTCTGATCCCGTGCACTGCATCAATTCATTCAGGTTGTGTCATACATTAACGTGTTCATTATGGCAGCCAACTAATTTTGAATTGTCTTTCAATGTACGGCAGTGGACCAAAAACATGGACATGCAACATTCTTTCCAATCTAATGTAGCAATGCATATGTACTGGAGGTATGTTGCCTTAGTACATTGGGGCGCCATTCAAAATGAATGACACAATGCACCTAAATGATATTTTATGCTATTTTTTTATGATATTTCCAAGCAAAAATCAATCACAAATCAGAACAAACAGGAATACATGAAATAAAATCGTGCAAGATTTCAATTAAGTTTTAGACTATCTTGTTTTGTACCTGAGAGACAGATATAATTCATTCAATAAGGCAAGAAGTACAATTTTCTTTTTATTGTTTTATAGGCGCCTTGAAGCAAGAGTGTTTTAGGGGGACATAAGAGCAGAAATGAGGCTGGGAGTGAAGCCAACTTTATGTGTCGTTAGGGTTTAGAGCCTGTACTTTAACAGATTAATTTTGCAGAGCAAAAAATAGTATTGCCTTTTCATAACAGAAGGTATTTACATGTCCCTATATCTAGCACAAAACCCAAAAACAGGGAGCTTATGCTCTGCTTAATGGTAAGTGGGTGAAGTCATGCAAATAATTCCTTTTTGCCTATTTTAGCGATCAGTGCATCCAGAACTACTGGTGTGATTATAGCGCTAATTTTACAGAACCAGGATTACCAATTTGTGTACAGCTGTTACAGGCTTCTTAGCCCTTATCAGCTCAAGATATGATTTTACTGGATGTGAGATGTAGAACTTGTAAGCCCAGGAGAACAGTACAACCATTAAGGTTGTTTTGAGGCAGTACAATGTAAAATACTGTGAGATACAGCATTGCCTTCTTAAAATAGAAGGTATTTAACCATTTGGCCTCCAGAAGGCTTTACCTTCTTCAAGACCAGGGCATTTTTTTGCACTTCAGCATTGAGCAACTTTAACTTGCAACTGTGCCATCAAGCAGCACTGTATGTAAACTAAATTGATATAATTTTTTCAGACAAATAGAGCTTTCTTTCAGTAGTATTTGATCACCACTGGGTTTTTTATTTTTGTTATATTAAGGAAAAAAGACCAAAAATGTTGGAAAAAAAACCCCCCAATATTTTCTACTTTGTGCTATAAAACATATCCAATAAAACATTTTTAAAAAAAATCAAATGTCTTCATAAATTTAGGGCAAAATGTATTCTGCTATGTATCTTTGGTACAAAAACCCAATAGTGTATATTAACTGGTTTGTGTGAAAGTTATAGCATCTACAAACTATGGTATATATACTGGAATTTACGCAGCTATGATGTTATACTGGTAATGGCAGTGATCAAGGACTCCTAGTGGGACTGTGATATTGTGGCAGATAATCTGGGGCTAGCTGATGCTGGCTGGGA